CTCTCTGTGTGTCTGTGTTTAGCCCCACACTCTGACGTAATGATGCAGAAGTCGTCCTCGTGAGGTGAACCGACTGTAATGAGTTAGCTGGAGTTTAGACGTATTGATTAATAATTAGGTTATTGATTATTGTGCTTTAATGTCTCTGAATGAAGAAACAGCAGGTTGACTTTGGATGTTAATGAGGATAGAAGGAAGTCTGAAACGTACAGAGGACAGTGAATGCAGCACCGGCCTCACAAACAATAATTCATCTTGTTTATGTTTAATAATTTCCACACATTCTGATTTATTGACTTATTGGCTGATTAATGATGTAATTCAGTGACTAATCATTAATGTTGAGTAAAGAGGAAGTGCTCAGTGATCTGATCAGCTGATTGATCAGCTGATTGTAAACCTGAATCCAGATTCTGGTCCCTTTGTGTGAACGAGGTGGACAAAATATCGGAAACACACACTGTATTGATCCATTTCCGATCCGAATATTGAAATGTTTGTCAGATTGTTTATTTATTGATCTATTTATTGATTGATGGAGGAGGTGATGTGTTCAAAGCCCCGACTTAAAGTTTTTGTTTCCATTTGTGCCTTTTTGTTGTTTTAATGCGGAGCTGCTTCGTCACTGTTGATGATTGTTTGTTTATTTATTGGTGTTGTGTTCTGCTGAGCCGGCCTCAAACTGGAGCCACAGGAAGGAAACAGTTCACCTGTCTGCACACCTGCTAACAATAAAATGTCCTTTTTTAATCAAACTGACTCGTTTTCACTCAGATTCACCAAAAACACTTAAAAGAAAGACAGAAATTAAAATCTAATTTCCACTGAGAAACTGAAGGGATCACTTTATTAACATTTAGATCAATAACATAACCAACACATGAGTATTTGTTTGGGTTTAAATGAAGCTTTGATTTTCATATTTATTCTAAATATGAATGTTTATAAATCAATATGTAGACATTAATAATCTCAGTCTCTGTAAACAACAAGTACAAAGTTTAACACAGAGCAAAAAGTAAAGATTCATCAGTAAAATGAGTTCAAACAGTAAAGAATGATTTAAATAAAAAGACAAAAACAGAAAATGAAATAGAACATTACAAAAGGCTTTTATTTTTAGACAAAACTGTAAAGGAGCACCATCGTGAAATTAAAATGAAAGGTTGAAGAAAAAGTGTAAAGTTCCCTTTATACAACGATCAAAGATGAATGAGTCATAAAAATAAAATATTGGGATATAAACATTCATTCAACCTTTATTGAAACTTGATTACAATCAGGTCCATTTACAAAAAGAAAACAACTAAATATGTATAAAAAATAAACAAAGTGAGCTAACAGAAAGCTTTGAATAGTTAAATAATAATAATAATAAATAAATTAACGTGTAACAGTTATTTAATTTGAACCATTTATTAATACTTCATTTTTCCTCTTTTCACTGCTCATTAAACATGACACAATTAATTACTTTTTTCATTTAGTTTATTTATTGATTCATAGTTTAATACACTTATTTATTAATGCCTATTTTAATTGTACAATTAATTCATTAAATGCTGCATTATTATTTTTTGGGATCATTTAGCATTAAAATAATTAAAATGTAAAACAAATATAAGTCCAGGTTGATTATAAAATCAGAACCAGGAACATATATATTTATATATATATATATATATATATATATATATATATTTATTTATATAAATAAATATATATCGTTATTG